GACTCAATAATATCTCTTTTTTTTTTCTCCGATACGTCGAGATTACCGAGTAACGATGCTTCGACGACTCGCGCGAAATACCGGCAAGATAGGGAGACTCGAGAGCGATTTCTGATAGAAAATTTGGCTACATACTTTATCACGATGTTATATAACATTACATGTGGTACAATATAGCATCATGCGATATAATACATCATAATTATGCCGAAGCAAGCATGCTCATAATTAAACTCCGAGAACAAACCGGGAGGTAATTCTATATCTTCACCTGCACACAATGATGAATAAAAATATCGACAAAACGGTTTATATAGAATGAAATTGCATTTTCGAAGAAAATGACAAGTAAAATGTTAATTTTTGTAAGAACCTTTATTTTTTTTTGTTTACATTTTTAGTTGCACCTTATGGAAATTAACAGAAATAAATGTAATCACAAGAAAAAAAGATAGCGGTTTCTGAAAAGTTTTCGTAATTTTTTTGACTATTTATAAGTTGATTTATAAGTTATAAAAAGTGGTTATAAACTAGCTACAAAATAAGATGTAAAAAAAGTAAAGAAACGACATTAAAAAATAATTGTATTAAATTTATATAAACAAAAAAAGGTCTTAAGAAATTAAAAGAGGTTCTTATACCACTTGTCAAAAAATTTCAGATGAAGAAAGTTTGAAAAAATGGAGCGAAATGGTCGCTTAAGCCAATTAAATAAGTGTCAGAGAGGAAAGGAAAGTTGTAAGCACACAGTGAGAAATAATCCTAGAGCTAATGCGTCGTAGATTGCTGTACAGATAAGTTAAGAGTACGGTCAAAGACGTTAGTTTAAAAACAATACACAAGGTTCTTCATGGAGCTGAGTATATAATGCGAGAATAGACCGAAGGAAACCTTTCAAATGGCAGCATTTTTCTGCATTTTACATTTCTTTTTTGACTATGTTCATAAAAATAATTATTAATTTGAATATTCTATAATTAAATAGATTACAGCAAAAAATAAAAATGTTTACAAAGATAAATAATTTTCTCATTTGCTAACAGAACACGGTAATGTTCGCATATATATGTATATAATATTTATTCTTAATCATTAAACAAGGGTACACAATTCGGCCGTTAGAACTTGAAAAACTTGTAAAACGTGTAAATACCGATAATAAAGGAGTCGGACGAAAAATAAACGCGAGATTGTTCGGTAAGGTCAATTAAGACATTGGTCTTTAGAGAAATAAAAATGTAACATAGATTAACAGTAACGGATATTTACATATATATAGAGAAGACGGTGCGGAGACAAGCAATACAGTATTAAATTCGTAATGTCAAATTATACTCAATTTAAGTCATTTTTTTATCATTTCTATAGGTTGCCCGCTCCTACTCAATATCTCGTTAATTTAACTAAAACTGCAATTTAACTACATTAGTTAAATTAATTTAACTACACCAACAGAGTTAAAATAATACCGTTTTGTGTTAAAATAATTAATTCCGACACACATGGTAATTAAAAATAAAAAAATGTTATCTAACTCAAGATATTGGTTTAAATTTCCTTTAATATTTAATATTTAATTTTTAGTGTTTGATTTGCGTCATCGGACGCACGTCATCTCGGTCGTAAGATTCGAAGAGGAGAGGATGTCTTCGCGACGAAACACGTGAAACGACAATTCGGTCGTAACAATCCTCCGATAGAGATATCTCTTCGAAAGGCGAGATTGCACGCGGGAGAGTTAAAGACGCGTTCGAAGCGAGACGTAACTTTGCATTCTAATTAACGGACGCGCTATTGTTTGATCAGCGCGGGATACCCGACGGTTTTCCAGAAATATTCTGTGCCCCTCGCGAATCGCTCCGCCGTTGGAAATATCGATTCGCGGTGTTCGACAAACCATAACAGAAAGAGATTTTCGCTAACTATACAACTGACAAATCGACTGTTATTTCCTTTGTCTCTCGTGTTTACGAAATCGTGTTCTCATTCTCAATTCCGTGAGAGATAAAGGAACGTGAGAGCCGTTGCGGGTCCGAAGTATTCCGACGATAGAATTCAGAAAGCGATAACTATGTTTTTGACGCATATAATTACGATTCCGGACACACTTTCTTCGAAAAGAGAGACCATTTTATGGGTAGCAACTACATATTGCCGCATGCCGATACTTTTGTTCGCCACTAAGATACCCCTACAGGTATAATTCGATTAGTTACGTGAAATTCTCTTACTGCAAATTCCAAATGTTTAAATTACCGTTAATCTTCGATGTTCGATGTCTGCTCCGAAATAAAACTGAACACGGGAAGGATTTCCATCAAGCTAACGATCTGTAATCCGCGCGAAGACTGGTGGTTTTCATACACAATAGGACCGGATCCTCGCGGATCCTCGACGATCGGTGGGGATGAAAGATAGCAAATGAAAAGCGAGAAAAGCGTTCCACGTTAGAAAAACGCCACGTTGGAAAATTACGAAGACGTGAAAGGACGGACGAAAGAATCCGTCTTTCCAGGGAGGACGGATTCTTTCGCCTGTCCATCCAAATTTTTTTCGAACCTTCGTCTACCGGTATGCCTCGACAGATTTTTTACGGGTATTGTGATGTTGATGTCAATGCAGACATAATAATACAGAAACCGGAGATAGGTACGTGGTGAGCAGGCAGATAGGTACGTGGTGAGGTACGCAGGCTGGGACTTGTCGATGGCAATAATGGCATCCACAAAATATTACGCCTTTTCGTTATGCCTTCGAATCCTCATGCATTTATCCTCGCTAAAATTAGCTCTTCATCAGCGCTAAATAAATTGCAACGTATTGCAAGGTTGCTAATTAAATGGTCGAGTCCCGAATTGAGTGATCCGAGTGTTTAGCAGAATATTAAATACGTAAGTGGAAAAGCTGACTTAAACTTCAGTTGCCCCCTTCCCTCCCCCATACGAATAAATATCTAATATATATATAAATTGGAAAAATAAATGTTATAAGTTATAAGAGTTGGATGCTTTAAGAAATTATTAAAATATATTCTTCAAATGGCATTATATCACAAAAGTTATATGTTAATTTCGCCGTCTAATCTACGAGATAGAAATCGTAGCGAAATATTAATATCCGTTTTTACCAATGCAGATTAACTTTGATCTTGGCTTAACTTACGTTTTATCTGTCTCTAATTTTAAGAACTATAGAAAAAGATGAAAAGTACGTTAAACCGCGATTAAAGTTAATCTACATTGGTAGAAATGGACATAAATCCTGCTTTGTTTCCGGTGTCGAAGTATTAATGTCGAGGCTCATTATTAGTATCCAGACGTTGTCCAGATTTTCTAGATTTTTCAGCCAAAATTCGTAGTCTTTTCTAGAAAGTTAGATCTCGAAAAGTTTTCACATGGTGAACCACTGACAGGCAATTACTTGCATGTAACGGTAAGCTTCGCTTTTTGTTTGTAACACTGGTACCTTCCGAACAACGTTTTGAAACGCGCAGTTGGGGTCATGTTTGAATCGGCTGAGATTGCTCTTTCGTTGATGAAGGTAACAAAAAAAACAGTGCCAAAAGGGATGATATGTTCAACGTGCTATAATTCGTGATGGCTACCCTTGAGAGAGTCATTACCACAATCAGGTAGAAGAAAGAAAAGACGAAGACTTCAGTAACTTTAACGAATAAAGACAAATAAATATTATCAATCTACACCATGTATCTTTGTCATGTAATTCTTTAACACAATATGTATGGACGTTTACTCTCGTACAATTTTCTTATTTTCAATTCGACTGTTAGAGTTCGAAACTTGCCACTCGTCAGACAATAACGGTAAATAATTGAAACAAATAAATAAAACTTATGTATTCAATATGCATCTCATATCTTTTTCCTTACATATTTTATAACATTATATAATAAACGTACCGACGTGTATTCATCAAGATAAAAATGTCGACGTCTTTTCTTTCTAAAAAAAGGCTTGTTCCTCTTGCAATTACACTCTGTTATGAATTTCCCTAGTAAAACGGAACAAAGTGTAGGTACCTTGGTTTTAGAGCGGAGGAGAGAAAGGAGGAAAATACCGACGAAAACAAGCGCGCGGCTGAAAACGCACGAATTCCGAAAACCGCTGCTGTTTCTCAATTTATATTAGGAATAAATTTGCGGACGTTAAACCGCAAAACGAGACGAAAGGCTTGCCAGCTCCTGCCTGCCTTGCCTTGCCTTGCCTTGCCTGCCTGCCTGCCTGCCGATCGTATATACGTTTCCATCGTCGGTTTAGGTCCGCGAACCTGAGACAAACAGCAGTACGCCATCCCGCTCCTGCCTTCGGGCTCGGTGGGGGCTTTTTACGAGCGACAAACACGCGGCTCGAAAAGCACCTCGGATTTCGATTTACAAGCAGGCGAGCGAGTGAACGGAGGAATGAGAGGGGAAGAGAGAGAGAGAGAGCGCACCCCGCTCGACGAACGGCCGCACGCACACGAACGCAACCGCGTAAGCGAACCCGTACGCTTGAACCTCGGGAGAAGAAGAGAAGGGGTTCGGCCGCTGTCCTGCGACTTTTGCGCGGATATCCATTAGGAAAAGAGATCCGCGCGATCCGCATCTCTCCCTCGGCGCGGAAAAACATCCGTCTAGCGATCCGACCTTCCTACCTGCGGAAAAAAAATCTCGTCACCGGATCCGGTTTTTCAGCACGGATCTTATACCGCGCGTTCGTTTCGTACTCGGGGAAACTGGCCGATCTGGCGATCTTTTACGTCGCGCGACGACGTGAAGGAGCGAGGGTGCGTTAATCGCAATGGGACTCGATTCAATGGACAGGCGAGAGGCGAGCATTGTAGAGCGGAGCATTTGCGCGGCAACAAATCGCGTAAAACGCCGTCGCCGTCGGAATAAAACAGGAGACGTCGTCGACGATGCGCCCTGCGCTATTCTCGCCTCTCGGCTCGCGGTAATCGCGAGAAATCGCGGAAAACGAGAGAGATGAAATACTACTCACCCTGGATGCAGCTTCGTCCGCGAGTTTCCTGCCGAGATCTCTCATTGCAACGGAGCCAACGTAGAACCGTACGCGGTTCGCGCACGCGAACCCGTCTCAGGTATCGGGAATATCCTAGGCGACCGCGAGAAGGAGGGAGAGAGTTTAAAAGAGAAACAAGGAGCGGAGGAGCGAGAGAGTCGGGAGAAGGAAGACGGGAAGGAGGGAGAAGAGAGAGAGAGATGCCGAGTACACGCAACGGGGCGAGCCCGGAGCGACGGCGGTCGTAGCTGCCGTTCCCACTTCACGGTAATCCCGCACACGCACACACTCTCCGATGGCGGCGCGACCCGGGTCGAGGAACGCGCACACCGACACGCGCGCGACGGCTACGACGGCGCGGCTAACTTCACTTCGCTCGGCGCTCAACTTAGCTCCGGCTTGGCGCGACTCGGGCGCGACGAGCTCCGATCCGGCCCGTGTCGCGCATGATGATATCCGGCGCGGCGGAGAATTCTGTTTACATTCGCGAATGCGTGGCCAAGGTGAGGGGAGTGGGGGCCGTCCGCCCGTGTCCGTCCGTCCACTCGTTCGTCCCTCGGGACCTCCGCGGCGCCCAACGTGAGAGAGATGCGCCGTATATAATTCTCTCGCGGATAAAAAACACGCACCCGCGCGCGCGCGGGTGTCACGCACGCACGTATACGGCGAGGAAGCGTGTCGCGCGTATGTATGTCCGTATTGCGCGAGATCAATCGCCCAGTGCCGTCAACCTGACCGCGGGGCGTCCGCGACGGCGCGACCGCACAATGCGAAGATGGCGTCGTATGCGGGACGGAGGACGGAGAATCGCGCCTTCCCCCCTGCTGCTGCCCTCCGCGCGCCGGGGGCGGCGCGTCGGGACGGGATCACTTTGCGCCGCTTTGCGCCGCCGACCCTCGCGAGGCCACCGTGGATTCTCTTAATTCCCTTTTCACCCGCGGGCACCTCTCCGCTCCGTCTGTGTCGCGCGGCACCCGCGTCGCGCCTTCGCCTTCGTTTCCCGGCGTTTCCTCGTCGCCGTGAAACCACGTTCCAGGTCGCCGTGACGCACACGTCGCGCGAGTTTCGCGATTCGCGTATACCCGTGTCCGTACCACTGCTGCCGCTGATCAACTACTGACGTCACGTCGACTCGAGCGAGACGTCAAGCGTCAAGCGTGATGCGTTCTCGGAAGCTCGGAACTTGGAACCGCGGAGGTGGTTCGGCTAGGTGGCGCCGCCGCGCCACCTTTCAAAATGCATATCGACCGAGGAATCGCCGCGAATCGCGATCTCCACTTTCAAATTTCAATCGCAAATGCTTCGATTGCTTCGAAATCTCGGAGCGGGATGGACGCCCCGATATCTGATGCTCTCCCTCTCCCTCTCTCTCTTTCTCTCTCGTTACCTTTATCTTCCGAAATTATTTCGTTATGAGATGAGAAGCATATATCGTATACAAACGAATAAGATAGTCGAATGTATAAATTGTTACAAATTGTTTAGAGCTCTCTGAAATTCATGATGACTTTGACCAAACTTCGATTAATTCAAGCGACAATATTGTCAAAAGAATTTTATAATTATATAATTTGTTATTCCTAACGCAGATTGAGAATTTTTAATCTGAAATACTTAAAATCGGAATTAAACAATTTTAGATACTTTCGAATTTTTTTAGAATATGTATCACGAAGTGAGATGGAAATAAAAATTGGATTTCGAGCAAAAAAATTTCATTTTTATCTATTAAAGAATATGACGTTCTCTGCTTCTAAAGGACTAAATGCAACAAACAAAAGATAAAATTAAATGAGGCTCGAGATACATCATCAGCATTTTTATTGTTATTTTAAAAGAGAATGTTGGAAAAGGGACTTTAAGAATTTCTTTTCGGGAATTAGGGAGCATTGTCTCCTATAGTGGTCTTGCCACTGTTATCCATGAGGATTATATCAAGTTTCGACATTTGCAACAATATTCCAATAAGAGCAGAGAATAAACAAAACAAACAGAGAATAATCCAGACACCTTACGCCGACTACGTTTGGTGTTTTATTGACGTAAACACAACCGGTCGCAGCTGTTTTTCGCCGAAGCTCCAAAAGTTACCAGAACTTTTCGAATATTTCTCAAAAAGTTTCAATTTTTCTGACTTCAGATTAGGGATGTAATTTAATTCCGTATAATGTGTAATTTTGTACATTAATGAGGTAGCACCGGTGCTACCGGATAAGTGAATCATCGATCGAAGTTTAATCGAAGTTTAGTCGAAGTCATATCTCTAATAAGCTGGAATCTAGATGTATTTTTTTTGTTATGTATTCATAATATATTTGTTACGCTTTCGGCTTTCCCCACGAGATTTCGTATCGCGTTCGTTCAATATTTGACGTCAGGCGATCGCACGTGGCGATCTCATGATTAATTTTATTAGAATTAGCGCGAAGAGAAATCGCAAACGCAGATTCCGAGTTTACGCGGAACCGCCGGCGATCGGCCGATGACGTGCGTGCCTATAGGTTTCGAGAAAAGTGAGTGGCAATCGGCACGCTGAAAAGGCCGTAATTGGCCTCCCCGTGCGCCGATCGCGATTAATTGGAAAGATCGGACACGCGGATTTTCGCGGAAATCGCGCCGAGCCTGAATGAACGCGCCGATAAGGATCGATAACCTTACCCACCTTTTCACGTCCTCGGAAAGTACGCCGTCTTGGTGGAATGCGGAAACATTCAGCGGGGCTGTAGGCTAACCAGTTTGACCGACAAGCGTAAACGGACGATCACTAATGATCGCTCTGCGAAAATGGAAAAGCTTGCTTGTTTCTGTATGCTCCGCGACAACACCGTGTTTAAAGGGCAACGGGTCGAAGCGAATATGTTATTAAATGTATTTTGAAATATTTCTAATTAACAATAAGCGAGAGAGAGAGGGGAGGAGGAGGGATCGTACTAAATTAATTTCAAATTTACAATGTGAGACTTTCGGTATTTAACCCTGTCGTTCTTATTGTAGTCATATATAATTATAGATCCAATTTATACATATCTATACGTATACAAATAAAAAATGAATACTTAAAAACTTCACGGTAAATAAAATAATATCAAAATTACGAATACCTTTTTGCAGCTATTAAATGATTTGAGAACGAGAGGCTTAAACGCATTACAATGTGAAGCAATCTCAGTTCTTCACTGATAGAACGTAAATAAAAAGAAAAGATTAAAACGAAGAGATAAAGATAAATAATTGAATTTCTCTCAAATTGAAAATCACTTTTTCTTAATACAATAAATAAAATATAAAATACTTGATTGTTTATCAAGGAAATATGTTCTTTGTTTAAGAAAAAAAAATAAATTTCTTTACAACTTTATGTACACGTCGTTGATTAATTACCAGTACTTATAATTAGCTATTATTTTATATCTATATGTCGATAAAAAAATAACTGATTAATGATAACTTAATCCTCGATTGTGATATTCGTAGAATTATTTATGTAATTAACAATGTCTCACAAAAATATTCCGCAATTATATCAGTATTGTATTGCACACTGATGCTTTGTTGCAAACATTTTTAACGACAAATATTTAATTCTTAATTTAATTCCGAGGAAGAGAGAAAGAAATATAAGACGATCTCCGAAAGATTATAAATCACATTCCTTCGCAGTTTTTTCAATGCAGTATTTATTATTTCAGTATATTTCAACAACAATATATATCGGTAGTATATTATATTCTTAGCAACAATATCGGTTTTCTTTTACCTCGGATTATTCAACGACGATTATTTAAGACATAACGGACATATACAGAATTCGGTTTATATCTGAATTACAATAAATATACGAAGCTCGTACAAAATAACCGTTTGATATTTAGTTAAATTGGTGTATCAATCGAATATGTATAAAATACTTTCCGTGCGTGCGATTAAAAATTTAATGATCGGTGCTGTCTTTACTACTCGAGATGTGTAACGCGCGGGCATAACGATGAAACGTTCCGATATTTCTTTTTCCAACTAGACTCTAAGTCATTCGTCGCAATTGCCTACGAGACGATGATCACGTTAAAAAGAAATGCGATATAACTGGAGCTTTGGCAAGAGAAAAGGCAGAACGAGTAGTAAAGACTCGCGTGTATTCTCGACGTGTGAATCTCGATAAGACAACGATTGACGCGTTATTGCTTCTTACGATAGCCTTATAAATTATCAACATTATCCTTTAGTCTTCGAAAAACAAGTATATATATTTACACTAAACTTACGCAATTTCCTATACAATATACAAATTCTTTATATATAATTATAAAAAATAAACGCGATGATATTATAAAATGGATACTGTGTGATCCGATTAAATGCGTTTGCTGCTGCTTATCGCTTATACGAATTGTTCGTTAAACATACACATGTAATAAGTGTAAAACGTATATATATTTATATATTTTATATATACAACGTATATCATATATAATTTATATATATATATATAAAATATATAACATGTATATACATATACAATATACATATATATATACACACAACACACATATATATATGTATATATGTATTACATTCTTTTTTTCCTTACACATCAATCCTGAGATCTAAAAATACAATCTAGCTTATCTTTTCTTTTTTTTTTCATCATTTGTCTCATTAATACATCGTGCCGAACAACATCTGCCATCTCTCACTATTTTACAAGTAAAAAAATATATACGTTACTCTTTCAACCATGTAACTTTCATAAACATCGAAAAAAGACAGGAAGAATGAAGAAAAACTTCTGTCAAATTCGTTCTCCATCATAATTTTGTTATGCATGATTCATCGATAGAAACAACGTGGATTAATCACGGGCGCGAGAATAATTATCGCCCGAAAAAGAGATTGATTAATTATTACAATAATAAATTCTATCATATCGATCTTCCACCACTCAATCTCAAAACAAAATGGCTGATAAGTGCATTCACTTCTTTGGTTGTATGAGTCCTTAATTTTATACATAATTACTCTGACATACATATACATTTCATATAACTGGTAATAAATACTTAGGAAAAAAGGGGAGACAAGACATCGATGATGAATGAGTTTAAATTTTTATCATAATCCGAAAACGGTAGAGTCTCGCGTTACGAGAACAATTAAACAATTACTAACTCTCTCACGCGAGATCTCTTTATGTGCTTTCAAAAGGCGTAACACTTTATCGTCAAGGCCACAATTATGTCGCTATCTAAAAAAAAGATTTACAAAGTGGTGTCTATATATATATATGTATATGATAGGAGCCTAAATTTTAAAAGTCTACACTTTGAAACATTATTGAGAAGAGCAGACGAATAATAAATTTATATTATTATAAACGCCAGTCTACAGTATCACCTTACAGCGTATGGGCATACAGCTGTTTGTCATTTCTACATGATATAAGATATCGAATTCTGAGATTCTTTATGTGTATCAATGCTGCTTGCGTCAGCAAGTAGTGTCCGCAATTTTACACTTTTGACGCATTATCGCGCTATTTTCTATATATGTACTTTCACACAGCGTAAGTCATTGGTGATTTACTATTCGCATTTGTATAAATTAAACAGTTTGCTTCTCTTAAAAAGAAAAAAAAACAAGAAGAAACGAGAAGTCTATGCTTAAACGTATTTCATAAATGCCGTGAAAATCGCTCTTTCCGTAAAGGAATAAATTCTCGATCTTACGAAATATTAGCTTATCTCGTATCGTCCGAGAAGCATGAAAACGCCGAAAGCGCTCGTTACAAATATCTGTTTTTGGATGAGCAGCAGTTCAATGAAATGGAAAATCGAACTTTTTGACGTTTTTTGCGGGGCACACCCTTCTCGGGTAATTTCGATAAATGCCTGCACGGGGTGCCCTCGTGGTTCGGTCGAATACTTATTTGGTCGATTGTGAGATTACTCTATAATGAATTTCAATGAAGGTTTACAATCACTTTCAAAGGCTGCGGTATTTACTTAATAATCTCATTAAAATACGGAACACGCGCAAAAAGGCACATATACTTTCAAAGCTATCACACGTGTTAGGATGAATTACGTTTACTCTGCGATTAGATCAATTAAGAGAAACTAGGTTAGCACCAGCCTAATTTTGTTAGGATGAGCAAGTACAATTGTCCTTATATTAAAACCTTCGCAAGCTGCGCAATGATAGCTGCAAGAAAAAAAGTCATCTGTGTGTTCCCTCTCGAATATCCGTTCTCTACTTAGAGAATATTTTTAATACGCCTACAAGCATATTTAATTACGATAGAAACTTTTTGTCATCACTGTTCATCGTTCATTATCGCAAATTGATCACAAATGGTGTTATCGAATTTATAGCTCAACGCTACTTTTAAAGGCAAGTACAAATGTTTATCATAATGACAAATTTGCAAGTGAACATAGTTTAAATCATTCATATTATATAAACGTTATCGAAACATCGTAAAAAGGAAGTATCACGCGATGTAGTTGCAAAAATCAATTATACATGTATAATTGTTATAAATAATGCATATTTTTTGTCCCTGTCATACTTTAAATTCACCTAAGACTTTGCAAAGAATTGTACAATACAATAATTTCTTTTTGATCATGTCTGTATCACCGTTCCTATTGTAATAGCGAATTCATAATACGTAATCGTCTATTTGAGATTCTTTTTTTCTTGTATTGTCTTTCATCTTCTTCATTTAGCATAATACCTAATGTTATATACCCTGAAAAGCTTTGTTTTCCAGATCGTCAAAGAGATTCTATACAGTGCTAATGTTAGCATTAGTATCGTCAAAAGTAGGAGAAAATGTCATGAAGTTAAGATTAATATGTTATTATCAAAAAGTTAATTGTCTATATGTTCATATCGTAGAGATGTGGAGGAGCACCTACCACTGAAGGCATCTGGCAGCCGCGTCGCACTAACAGACGAACAGATGGTCCACCGTTACGTATAATCTCAATCGCTTCTGTATGCGTCATATTTTTGGTATTAATACCGTTTATTTCGATTATTTGATCACCAATCTAGAAATAACATAATACTTGCATATAATTGTGTATTCATAGTTTAAAACGCATTATATTTCTAGCAATATATATTCGATTTAAATTTATTTAAATTAATTAAACATTAATAGGCCAATACAAGCCTAAGACGATTTTCATCTAGGTACTTAAAGCTTATATCAGCTTCGTACTGAATTTATAGTTTGTAACAAACGAGCCAATCAATATTATTCAAACGGTAATAAAAACATCAAAATTTTACTCACTCTAAGCCGATTATCGATAGATGCCGGGCCGTTCTCTGCGATTTGCAAGACAAATAACGGCATGTTTTGAAATTCACGGCCACCACGTATGCTGAAGCCAAAACCTCGGGTACCCCGAGTCAACTCTACAGCATGGTACTGGCCCCCATCTCCATCTCCTGTAGGCTCGTCCTAAACAGAAAAATTCAACACTTTAATCGCTCCATAATCAATATGGACGTATAAAGAATAAAATAAAAAGAGACATTCTTCGCAATATACTGCTAAGTTAAAAAATTTGTCGAAGCAAGCCTATACCTTTTGAGAAAGAGATGTATTGCTACAGCAATCGTCCAACGGATATCCAATCGTCAATGTGACAGAATAACCAGAATCTTTAATTAAATTGACGATATCCTTGTGGCAAACGTTTGTGATATCTATATGATTGACAGCGAGAATGTGGTCTCCGACGTTTAATCTTCCGCATCTTTCAGCGGGCGAGCCTTCGATTATTCTGCCGATCGTGGAGCCGGCTTTGTTGACAGACGAGATTATTACGAAACCGAATCCCTCGTTTTCCATTCGAGTGACAGTAACGTCATACGGATATTGAAGATTCATTTGTCGGCCGTAAGACGACTGAAGGTTCTCTTGAAGATGCTCCTGCGTGTTGATCCGACGTCGTATTCCCAGAGTTACTCGACCGTTTTGTGCTGCCGCTATCATTAGTTGCACTACATGATGATGAGAAGAATTCATGACGCTCTCTCCGTCGACAGACATGATTAGATCGCCGGTGCTGAGTCTGTTGTCAAGATCGGCCGCTCCACCAGGAACAATATGACCGACCGAAACCTGCTAACCGTAATATTTTTAACATTTCCATTTTTATTAGCTGTGATGACTACACTTTTTGTAACATATGAAAGTAACATCGTTAATACAGATCATCAACACCAACCTGAGATCCTTCTTCCGTACCACCAACTATTCTAAATCCAAATCCAGTGTCTTGTCTGACTAAAGTCACTAAAGTTTCTATCCATTCTATGTCGGGCACCATTGGACACACCAATTCGTTCGTGTATTGAGGATATCTTAAATTAATACCACAAATAAAATAATTTCGTCAGTATTTTTTCAAATTTCTATGTACATAAACATGTTTAATAATTTTTAAGCACACATTTTATGTAATAGTTACAAGTATTAATTTGGGATCTTTGAAAGATAAAAATTCTTTAAAATCTTAACTTTTGATGGATCGACGATATACGTACCGAGATATGGAACTGGAATGTGGCTGTTCGTGCTCGAAACTGGTGGTCTCTTTCCGCTTATCCCAGATCTCGCCGGTGTCAACATTCTGCTCCTGCCCAATGGAATACATATTGTAGTCGTCATTGTACTGGGAATGCGATTGCACTGGATAGACATCCTTGTAGTAATCGGAGTGCAAATATCCATTCTGCTTGAGCATATTGTTATGATGAGAGATGTCGATGGAATACATGTCGTTACTGATATTCAACTTGTCGTTTGTGACCCAGTCACGCTTCGGAACGTTCCTAATGGAATCGTCGTCGAGATTCATCACCGCAAAATTCTCCGACAAATTGGCCGTGATGTTAGCTTTATACGGATCCGAGTAGTACATCCCATGCGAATAGTCGGCGTACTTATAATGGTTATCTAGCGGATTCAATTCATTTTCGCCCTGCACCTCGCTCCAGTTCGATCTGCTCGCGCTAGTCGGTGATTTGGAACGATTTCTGGTGTCGATCAATGGTGTTTTCGGTCTGCTAGGTATTACCGTCTTCGACTGGGTGCTGTAGATATCCGCGGTGGGCGTTTTGCTTCTGAAAAAATCCTGCGCGGTCTTCTCCTTTTTCTCCTTCGACTTTGTCGTCGTTCGCTGAACGTGTATCAACGCTTCCTCGTTACGCGGGCAGTCCTTCAATACTTGCACCACCTCTGAGTGGCACATGTTCCTAACGTTGATGTCGTTTATGTTGACCAGAATATCGCCCTCCATCAAGTTTTTACAACGCTGACGATCCAGAATCTTTTTGACCTTCTGGCCGTGTGCAGAGTCCGCTATCGTAAACCCAAACCCCATGGCTCCTTTTACGATGGCGATGCTGAGAAACTCTGGCTTGGAAGACACCGATGAGTCCTTACAATCGTTCAAATCGCTACTTTCCGACAGCAGAATATCCGTGCTGCTCGGTCTCTTTATCGTGTTGATTTTGTCCGAAATACAAAGATCGGGCATCGAATTGACGGACGTCGTGGCGAGATTCTCACCATTCTGGAGACTGTGCACCGGCAAGAATGTGGAGTCCAAAAAATTGAAACGTCCGTTGTCTTGAAGAGACGAGTTTAAATCCATGTACATCGCAGGATCTTCTGTCGAAAAGATTCGGATAAGTCTACAATTCTAATCCCCCGATATAAAAATATCAATACGTATTAACTATCCCCAACACTTGCTTTACCTGGCGCGTTGACGGCGATCGTGGTCACAACTTCTGTATTAGGATCATTGGGATCGAAAGGCAACGTGTAACCTCGGCACACTTCCAAGGTTACCGTATCGCCGCTACCAATTGACTTGAATACATTCACCATTTCATTATGCGTGAATCCAAGCACACAGGTGTCATTAACGTATACCAACACGTCCCCTGAAAAAAAGTTACAATTATGCGAACAGATGCGGAAGCGGAAGTGAGTCACACGCCTGAGAATTAGCGGTATCTGGAAATTACCGGTTTGTAGCTTCCCATCCAGCCACGCTGGACCATTTGGCACGACGCTTTTGATTTGGAGGAATTCTTCCACGGCATCGTCCCCGCCGACAATGGTGAATCCCAGGCCACGCGAACTCTTTAATAAGGTAGTCCGTATCCTGTGACCCTTCAGCTTGTCGGGATTTCTAGTAAAGTTGGGACTCTTCCTCTCGAGCATGTTCTGCTGCGCTCTTTTCGCTTGCAACACCGGATTTTCGTATTGAGTTCTACGATTCACGTGATCGATGAAATACGTGCCGTACAGGGTGTCGTCAATTTTCTCCCAACCGTAGGGTAATTCATCGTCGAGGCATTCCTCCAGCGATCTCTTTTGAAATTTCGACAGACGCGGGTCCAGCCAGTGAGATGTGCCGGTATTGTGGCTATAACATGATTTACTAATATCACTTTTTACGTGTCAAGAAATAAGATTAATTAAGAACAAGGATTATATTTGTACAAGTGCTATTTTATATACCGATGTTTACTAGATTTCTCACATTCTCACGCATTGTATTCTCGTAAGTTATTTTCATTGTCTACTCGTTAATATTCTCTTTAATTGCTAATTTGACATTATTACTACTTATTCTTTACATCTCTATGTTTATATATCAATATGTATAAACGTCTTTACATATTTTTAGTGTCAGTCACATATCCGTGCATATAAATCATCATTATTATTATCTTATTTTAATTTTTATCAAAGATCTAGGCTTGTAACGTTATTGCTGTCTCACCTTTTGAAGTGCATCTCTCTACTATATACTTTTGCTTCCATGTATATATCATTTGCACTTCAATAAGGTTATTATTATTAATAAAATTGTTATAACAATATATATTGCAATCAATGCAAAATAGCCGGCTCTATCACTCACTGATTTCAAGAATTTGAAAAAATTGTCAGGAATTTATTATTTAACTGCATAGGTGTGTCGCATACATACTCTATGAAATAAACTTCTCCCGTGTCCGTGTACGCCTTCTCCCAGTTAGGTGGTAACGGACCTAACTGATCCTCCGTGGCTGGAGTGCGGTTCCGAGCGGTTTGTTCCTGGTCCGAGGTCCCTGTACTCTGCTCCGATCCCGTATTGTACAGATACGTTGGCGGAATCCTTCTCCTTCGGATTCCATCGTTTCCGCCGATTGTCAATATCTCCTTGTCTAGACTCTCTCCTTCAAGCAGACGGGATTACGAGCGTTAAGAAACTTTCGCTGTTACATTACGTCAGTATATCCGAGAGCAACAAACAATTACCGTCGTTGGGATTGTCGATGGACGCCGCGTCGTCCGTTTTCGCAGCCATCTTAAAAGCCTTGCGTTCGTCTCAAAATCCTGTCAAGAAGAATGCAACTGTCACGAAATGTTAAATACCACAAATTATGTGTGTGGGTGCAATTTATAAATATAACTTAATATAAACGTAGCTAGATATAGCTTGTAAATTATAGCTTAAACTGTATAACTAAAAATAAAGTATAAAACTGTAGACAACCATAAATTAAGTATAAAACTGTAAAACTTAAACTAAACAGAATTATAAATAAAGTTTGGTACATGTAACGGGAAGCTAAATTAATAATTCCCTCGTGGAATTTTCCTCAGAAATTTAAGTACGTGAAAAAAGAGAAAAACTCGTGCGTGTGTGTGTGTGTTAGTATATCAAACACGTTTTTCAACCTCGTAATTAAAGCAATTTGCCGGGATATCGAGATCGCTATTTCGAGGAAGGAGAGCGTCGATCGAATACACACATACACGCACATCTGCTACGTTCTATCGCATGCAAACGAAATACGCACAGAATGAGCGTCCGGACCGTCGCGTAATTAAGAAGAGACTCCGTCCCTAGAGACGCGTCACGTATCACGTTGCACGCGTCACGGACGGTGGTTCTCTCTTCCACCTCGACGACGCCGCGCCGGGGTGGCTCGCCGGTTCCGATCTTCCGATAGCATTTCGGGGGGGAAAAAAAAAACGTCAGCACGAGCGCGTGAAGGAAAGTGGGGAAAGTAGAACGGTCTTAATCCAGTCTTTGAATCTCTATAAAACTGTTACGGTGTCCCCATAATCGTTTCTGCAATCGCACCTTCGATAAAGCGTGTCTCATTGAGCCGCACTGAAAACGAGATCGACGTGTAGTGTGTAGTCCCCCAGGTTCCGGAGCGGAAGGGAGGCGAGGGAAAAGAAAAGGAAGAAGAAGAAAAGGAGGCGGAAGGCGCGGCCGAGAGACGAAACGTGTATCTACGATCCGCGCAAATTCGAGCGGAGTGCGGACTCACGTGCTCGCGTGGTCTCGGGGCCCCAACTTTTCACGCCGCGGTGCGCCGCGCCGCACGCGTGTTTCCGACGGACAGGTGTCCGCGGGACGCAATTACATAAAGCGAGGCAAGGAACGCCAGCGCGGGCGGGAGGGAAGGGCCAGAAGGAGAGAGAGGGAGGAAGGGAGGGAGAGGGAGAGAGAGAAAAAGAGAAACACGCACGCGGGGAATGAGCGGACGGGCGGGGGGGACCGCACGAACGTGAATGCATTCTTACGAATGCATTCACCCGTGCGCGGCGCGGTGCGACGAGGCGAGGCGGGCGAGGCGCGGCGAGGCGAGGAGCGCGAGCGCGAATGTGCCGCTCGCGTATGACGCGGCGATCATTAGGTCCATTCGTTTAGAGAGGCGCTCTCCTGCACTTTCTACGCCTCGAAGTGAGACGAGGGAAAAGGAGGAGGGCAATGACGATCGGTAGTGTGCGTACTCCGACTCTAGCTGCTCATTTCGAAAGGGCGGGGGGGAGGAAGAAAGAAGAGAAAAGAGCGTACTTTTTTCGCGCGACACTACGCTCACCCGCTACGTAACGTAAATATTGGTGCGCCGCCCGGGGGGAGCGGGAGGAGGGGGTGGCGACTCCCTCGTCGTTTTCTCCTCTCGCTCTCGCCCCGTCTCTCCTTCTCTCCCGCATGGTACTCCCGCATCGACGTGGCCAGGCCACATGCACCCGCGCGGTGCAACAATGGCACGCGATATCGCGGGGTTCTACCTCCCGACCTGCATTCGAGATCTGCTCGATCGCGCACGTTAGCTTAGCCACGAAGTGAAGCGTGCGTTCTCGAGGCGACGCGCGACGAGCCAAGCGGAAAAATATCGAGAGAGAAAGAGAGACGGCTCGTTATTTATCACGGGAAGAGAAAGAGAGAGAGAGAAAGAAAGAAAGAGGGAGGTGGAGCGTGAGGCAGATGAGCAAAAGAAACTGAGAGAAAAAAGTATAAACACGTATATATATATATATACACATATGTTTGCGGGCGTGTGCATGTCCGGCGAACGTTTTTCTTCCGTTTTCTTCCAATAGCAGGCGATAAAGGCGAGAGCGGCAACGGCGACAACAACACACTCGGGGGGATTACTCACGCTGCGTTTCCTGCACGATGACGCGTTCAGCAGCACGCGTAACCGTCATGGTTCCAGGCGGTGGTGCGGCCAAGTGATAATCCGTTATCGTCGGCACTGAATCACTCGCGGATCGCGGAAACGATCATGTCGCACCGCGTCGCGTACGGACGATAGCGCGCTCGCACGTCGTGTGACTCGCGTGAGACGAGCGAGAGACAGTGAGGAGACGGAGAGAGGGAGAACGTTAGCGTACACATACACACGCACAAACACGCTCGCGCCAACATCGACGACCCGGGACTACATCACACGGCGCACCACCACTCGCCGTCTCGTACGTGCGTACGAGACATTTAACCGACCGCCGTACGTTGAGTGGTACGTGTTGCCGTTGCCCGTTGCCGCCGCCACCACCGTCGCCGCACGCACATCTTGCGCCTGCGTCGTGCGCGCGCCGCGAGTCACGTGGTCGCACGATTGCGGGAACTTTGAAACTCAGGTAGAACAAACAAGTCATGATGAAGTCAAAATAATGTCGATATAACGACAAAAAGACGATTTTTAGGTCATTTATCCACCATTTTTCCATCTTTTTGACTTTCTGTTCTATCTGGGAAGAGGCTTCGTCTTCTTGGAGGTTTTTTCCTGACAGGAAGGAGAGATCTGATTCTAAGAGGGGGAGTACAAACAATGTTGAGATGCTAAAGTTGTAAATGTTCGAAACAAAGGGGGAAATAAACTCGGTTATATTAGTTTCTGCGGAAAGTTTTCAAAATTTCTGTAATTGAAACGACACGTTTACATGCACAACGTCCGTGAATATGACCTGGTTCGAAAGAAGCAAGCACACGACATCCTCCGTTAATCCGGTAGTCCTCTTTTGTAACTTATAATAACAAGTCGATATCGTTTTATTGTTCTTTTACAGCTTAGGATTACTGGCAGCTAGGTAAATTATTACTTCAAAATTGCAACTTGCACAGGCCATTAAACAAATATTAAATATTTTTTTATTATGTTATTCAAATTAAGTATCTTCGCTTGTACGGACAATTTAAAAAATTAAGAGTCTCAAATAATTATAACAAAATCGCTATGATCATAGCTCTAAACTTCTAAACAATTATATCGCATTAAAAAGTATAATATCTACACGAAAGTAACTCTAATCAATGTGAAAAGATAATTACTCGTGTTCAAAATGGCAGAAAAATTCGCGTTAATTTGCGCGAAGGAAAGCAAGAATTGATTTACAAGCAAGAATAGGCATGAACGTTTCTCTATCGCGATTTCGAATATATAAATATCCCAAGAGTGATTAAAATACAAAATTCACGATTGAAAGATATATCATCCTCGCGAATAATCGTTCCAGCGTTAAAGCTCTACAAAATTGTAGTCGTCGAGGATCCTGTAGCGGTCCTGTCGGTAGTGCACTAGGTCGTCCTGGAAGCGCATGCTGCTGTTGTTGTGGAGTTTCGTCAGCACGGGCGGCAGCGGCGTGACCCCCGCGACGTTCGCCAGGTCGTCGTAATAGTGACCTTGCTCGGGGCCCATCATGTGAAAGTGTCTTTTCTGCAGACCTCTCTCAGCGCGTTTCGCCACCTCCTCCGCCTCGGAACGCAGCATATCCGCTCGCGCGGGAAACTGCCTCTCGCCGTGCCAGTGTCGTAGGACGAATCGCACCTTGAAATTGCAAGTAATCGTATTGCCATTATCAGATGATAGCACGCCGCGCCGGCCGGCCGGCCGGTCGACGCCGCGGATGCGCGACGGTGACTTTCTAGCATTTTTTCCCCCGTCGCGCGCGACCGCGTTCCTTTCAACCGCGCTCGGAGACAATCTCATCCGCTCCGGATGCCCCACGGACTTGGAATGTCGCGTGTCTAAAGTGAATTGCGCGCGGCCTTTGTACGTCTGACGTACTCTCAAAGTATCAATTTGAAACTTAGAGCGCGATGTACGGCCTAAAGTACGAGACATTGTTTAAAAGTGAATTTGTCAAGATGGAGAGACGAAGGTATCGTAATATTTTGAGTTCTAAATTTTAGGGAGATCAGCTAGAAAAAGATTTATACCTGCAAATCGAACATGCTAAAGGCGCAGACGTAGTAGGGAAGACCAATTAGTGCCAGAGTAGGATTCTCTATGGACACCAGATGCTTCCAAAGGGGCGTGACCATGTTGGAGTCCACTCGGACCCCACAGGATTCGGCGAGAAAGGGAAAGTTGTACTTGTAGCCTTTTAAGGAAAGAGATTCAAAGGATATGTTATTTTAATTGTTAGACTGAGACAATGTCCCATAGCAATTATACCGTATAAAGAAGGGAGAGAATCTACCTGTACAATAGAAGACGACATCGACCCGCTCCTTCGTTTCGTCCGCAAAAACCGCCTCGCGTTCCTTCAATTCCACTACGTCAGCTTTCTAAAACAAAAACCGTCATCCGCCGCTAAGAAGTACCTCCGCGTGTAATTTTACTATTTTCTTTCTGGGCTTACGCTTTTACCTGCACGACATTCTCGGGGAACACGGTGGCAATGGTCTCGGTCAGGTGATGACTCAGAATCACGCGATTCGCATTCTTGGATATTTCCAACGCCAAATCCATACCTATAGGAGAACAGAAAGGCACTGTGTTTTAATCGCGAATAACTTTGCCCGAGAACTTTTCATTCTGATTGTTCGCGCGTTCAAAACTAGGTGTCCACAAACGTTTGTTTAGCAATAAAACGTTAATAGAATTAAAAGCCGTGAAAAGAAAACATTAATAACTGAAACGTTAATAACTGGCACAAATCGTTCGAATCGCGATAAGAAAATGTCTCGTTTAAAAAATAATTAAGTGAGTGATATAACGTCGTATGTACCGGAAGGACCAGCTCCCAAGACGACGACGTTCTTGCCATCGAAGACCTCGGGTACCCTGTAATCGTGGCTGTGTATCTGCTTGCCCGTGAAGATGTCCTGGCTGGGTATACTCGGGGTCCTGGGCTCGAAATAATGACCGTTGCACACCATGACCGCGTCGAACGGCTCGATCACGACTACGTCCCCCTGCAAGTCCCTGACCTTGACCGACCACTTCCGGTTTCCCGCAACCGGCTTCACCAGCTCCACATTATGCAGCAGCTGGAATGTTTACGCCATGACAAGCTTATACCATTAGAATCTAGTTATTATTATTTATCAATTAATTATTTATCACAGCACTAATATTATAATAAAATTAATATTATAATATCATTATTATTATAATATTATAACTAACAATAATAGTACCTAATAGTGCTTGTGAATTCATGTTTGACAATTTGGATGAAATGTAATGATATTTAATGCACAATTTTACGTACAATTCTATGCACTCACCCGAATGTAAGGACGTAACGCAAAGTGATCGCAGTACGCATTCAGGAAATCCAATATCTCCGTGCGCGACAGGTAGCTCTCGGGTCCCTCCGGTATCGGAAAATCCGGATAGCCCATTACCTCTTTCGGTAAATTAGTTCTAGAATAATTAGGCAGTATATTTTCATCAACGGCATCGAATAATTTGCAATAATACACGGATAAAATTCATCGAGTATTTATTTCTACGAAAATACTTATGGAAAGTTTCAAGAGTAACGATGCGACATACAGGAGTAAAATTTATATATGAAATTAAAAATTAGACCATTAACTTTTATTATTAGCGTATTCTCTATGCAGGATTACCGAGAGAACGAAAATTGCCTGCAAGAGGAATACGCGGCCGTACCTGAGGCTTTTGTACATGCTAGTGTGAATCGGTAAACCGTATCTATCGGAACCAGTTTCCTCCCGGTAGACCCAGGTCCCGCCGATTTGATCTGTTTTTTCGTAGCACACCACCTGATCGCCGTAAGTACCGGAAACGCAGTGCCGGAGTGCAGCGAGTCCCGCAGCTCCGGCGCCGATCACGGCGATTTTCATGATTGCGCGCTTGTTAGCTTTTTAAGCTTCGCAGAACACGTGGAATCCTCGTTGGCACTTTCAGCGAAAGTGCTAGATCGGCAACCTATTTCAATAGTTAATGAAGCATGATCTCGTGGTATATTCATTTAATAAATAGGTATCCTGCACCTATCGCGCTCGCTTTCGTCATTCTTCTACCGATGCAGAAGCAATTTTTCTCTGATAAGAGTTGAAGGAATAATTGAGCCTGTCAGAAGCGAAAATAATCAACTCTATAAAATAAAAAGCAGAGAAAATCGATGAAATTATAAATCAGTCATGCGCTCTGATATTAAAAGTAAAAAATTTACAAACAGTGGAGTTGATCAGTTTGGTTTCTGATAAATTCAATTAATATTCATTTTTATTTTTACCGAAAGAAAGATAAATTAAACTCATAAGCTGAGTCTAGATAAACTCCACTGTGACACATGTATCGCTCTGGTCTCGAGAATAATAAATAGTGATAAAGAATAATGATAACTTGTGCGAGAAGCTGTTATCTTATATTTATTTTAAGCGGAATATTCGAAAGAAATAAAATGGGCTAATGATCCGAACTTGTTATTAGTTATTAGTTATGTATAACTTGAAAAAAATAAATAAAAATGTTAAACGTTTGACCTGTTCATCCAACAAAATTGCTGTACCTACTACTCCTACGAAGTTTATTAGCGATGCAACGAATTCCAACTTGCGTTTATATTTTACAACTTTAATGACGATTTACTGTTGTAATTACCGTTGATCATGATTTGCTCATGATCTTATTATAGATCGAAACGTTTGACACATCTGTTTATTTTTATTTAAGTTATAACATATAACTAAAGAGAGCACACTAATAAATAGCTCGATTCGTTAGGTCATTTATTTCCCTCGATTTTTAATCTATTGAATCTTGAATCACTTTTATCGTAATATTATTATTAATCGGTCGAAACGTTGATACAGCTGACGAATCGTTCTATAAATAATTAAGATTACATTTATATAGGGTGTCTGGTAACCGTGTCACCTCTCGTAAGCAAGTAAAACGGATTAAACTGAACAAAAGTCCCGTTTTGCGATTTTCTTAATAATTAATGAGAAATTAATAAAGATCTGCAAACGGACGTGCATCCGCGCGATTATGCAACTTTTCCTGTCGAAATCGGTCGCGACAGTACGGGTGAACCGGCTAGACTTGTGAAAGGTGCAACACAGGTCCAATCGAAAGTCGAACCCTCGTTCTTTCTTCCGTACACTTTTATCACATATTAAGAAAAATCACATTCATATATTCTTTTTCTCCATTTAAGTTTAGATATCACGTTTGAAACTTTTCAGACCTAATAGGTCGAATCTCGAAGATATGCGAGTCAATCTTCTGAAAATACGACTAACTTACACGTTGAACGCGCCACATATGCATAAATAGAACGCGCTTAACGAGATTTGATAAGACAAGACAGATCTCTTGTGGCGTGCGTTAATCAAATTCAAGATAAAGTTTTGATAAAGTACAGTCTAGTTACTCACCAACGGAAAAACACAAAGCGCTCGCGCAAAAACGGAATTCAGTGGAGTGCGCGATACATGTGTCACAGCTGAAGCAAAGAACAAAATGACCGAGTGGAGTATTAAGCGATCATTAAAGAATGGGGGAAATACAAGGTTGATACCGATAAGTCGTGTATCCCGCGTGTTTACCAAAATGAACGCTAAGATTAGACCTTCAACCTCTTTTACACGTTTTATTATCCTTGAATGCGACGATTAGCACAACATTCGACGTCAGTTTTAAGTTTTTTTTCCTCAAAACTTAATGTGTGCGATATCCATAAAAAGAAAACATCAAGAAGAGGAAACAGCAATCGATTGAAATTATGTGATGTGAAAGAGGTTTACCTTTATATGCAGTAAAATATATGTATATATCGATTTTATTATTTAAAATAAAATGTATTATTACAGCTTATATTAACTATATCCGTCTAATTAAACATAGAGTTAGATATGGTATAATAGTCTATTAGACAAATACAAATGGCAACGTTGCACTATGCAACTTCTGTTCTCGAGTTTTGTAAGATTGTTTTACTTGATGTTGTTCCTTATGTTACATGATCATGACGTTCCGTGAAAGACTTGGAAAAGTGGAAGATTGTCCTGTGATATTATCTATGAAAATCTACTCGTCAATGTTTCCTCTCCGATTCCCACTTATTTTTATACAACATGTACAATTGCATCGCCGCTTTTGCGTCTTCCACGGAACTGTGCTCGCCTACTTGTATCTCCCTACCTAACAATTCGTGCGCGAGCTTCTTCAGGCTGGGAGTGTTCCCCTTCGATATCTGACGGAAAGGTTTATATCTCGAAGTATCCCGCCAATATCTTCGCGGGTGCGACAGATACAGAACGTTGAGATCGTGCTTCAACGCGTGGCCCACTAAAATGCGACCCTTCAGGATATCCGCCACCTCCTTCTGCACGACGTTGAAGTTTTCCCCGTTCTGCAAGTGCTCCGGTCGAATGCCGCTGATCGCCGTTCTGTAATCCACGACCTTCTCCCTCGGCTTGACGTATTTGTCGTACAGACAATCGCCGTGTTTATTTACAATTGATACTCGGGCTATCATACTCTCTGCGCCGTCGCCGATACCGACCATTTCGCAGTCCATGGCGACTTGCTTCGTCAGAGTGTTCTTGTTCTCTTTATTCTTGACGGCATTGTGCTTGCCGCTTTCCTCCCATGGCTCCTACAATTGACAGATATGTATCAAGAAATAGAATTCACTATTAATAACATTTATATTCAAAACAGTACTATACATTTACCGTATGAAGTGGAGTGGTGTATACTTTTTTAAGCTTTGGATATCTGTTCTGTGAAACACTTTTTTCTCCAGTGCTTTCTTCTGTCTTTGGGTTGGGAAATAAATTTTTGTAAGTCTCCCAATTGCATCCGGATGCCTTACGTTCGGTGCTTGGAGTAAGCTGCTTTGTCGTTTTGTTCCTCTTCTTCCTGTCTGAACCAGATGATCCATTGTCCATTCTTGAAAAAAAAAGGAAATATATCTTTCTCATCATTTTCTTCTTTCTCTGATAAGTATTAAGCGATAGTTCATAGCTATCTATTTACAACCTAATCTATCACTTAAATATATCTGATATTTTCATACCTATATAGCTATATAGTTGTCATGTAAATTTTAATAGTTTATAAAGTGATGTATGCACAATTAACAATACATTTCGATTCTTGAATGTTAAAAAATTTTAACGTTTCTTATTACGGCGTAGATAATATTTAAGTATGATAATTATTTTGTCGATTAAAATTGCACGTGCACATTGATAAAACAGAAAATTATTTTATTATATTGTTAGCAGCATTTATTGATAATAACAATACGTTTACTAATTTCTTTTAGAATCGTAACTTTATTCTCACTCCACCTTTTGAGATAAATATAGCATACATTCCAAATTCCAACGTATGTCGTGAACTCCGAAAACCATAGCAACCATAACCTAACTTAGCATTCTAGAAAATACTCGACTACGATTGGTTGATGCGAATATCAATGAATTACTCGTCGCAAATGTCGCAATCGGTATTACAGATTTCCTAACCTTGTACGATAATCTTTTAACGCTTTATTATTATCTTTATCACAATTAACAGTGACGATTTTATACAGTGAAACCTCTATTCAAATTATTGTTATTCCGTACCCGGCGATGATGAATCGATTCCTACCTGATTAGCATCCAAATAACGAAACACACGAAGAATATTAAAAATAACATTACACCCGGCAACACCAATTAAGTCTCGCGGCCGCGTAAGTTACGATGCGTAGCTTATTCGACTTCTGAAATTACTGATCGTTTATTGTCCGAAAGATGAGAAATCTCGTATAATCGGATTGTGAAAAATAAGTGTACATGACGAATACTTCACACGTGCGAATCGTACTATAATAACTAATAACGTTAGAGTCGATAAAAGTTGCTGACTTTACTATCTGTTGATATTTCTCAGATTTTGCTATTATTGATAAAAATTTAAATTTTCCAAAATTGAATTACATTTTCAATAGGAAACTATATAACTGAAGGGAGAGAGAAGAAATTAATTAATGAGAGTTAATTTAATTAAAAAAAATTTAAATCTAAGGATCGATCTATGTATAAGCTGCGAGTTTGAACTCTGAACTATTAATAATAAGCTCGTGTCTCTCTATACTTATTTTCCAAGTCTATAATTCTTTTTAGGTGCACATGCACAATAACATCTTATTAATTTTATAATATTGATTTCCGATAACAAAGCCGTACAAATTAGTGTAAAAGGTGTAGGTGTAGAAGAGTGAGTTGTAGCGTGTGTAGCTACAACCGCTCGCGGCGAGCCCGTGAAATTAAATGTAGCATATGAATCGACGAGTCGGACTGTTTCGTGGAATTTCGATTTTTATCTTTGTTTTCTAGGCAATTCGAGATAGCGATGGACGATGAGTGTAACACGACGATCAAGGAAACGTTCCAGGAGCCACGAAAAAGATTCTGGCTGGTAAGTATGCCGGATTTATGCTCGGTATTGTACGAGACGATGTCTGGAGCGACCGGCTGACTTGTAACCGACATTCGAATATCAATGTCATTAATGTCAACGCGGACCGCGTGTTTCCCCTTTCAATTTTTCAGTCGTCGCGATTAGAATGACACCGGTGTCACGTATACATTACGGCACCAGTATTTATTACCGTTACATGCATTGTTAGACCACGACGAGACGAGATATTGCTCTTGTTACATTGACATTGACTCCCGACGTCTAAACGTCAATATATTTTGCTACAGAGACCGAGGAAACGGCTGAAGAGCGACGCGATAAGCGTCAGCTCGATGGACATATCTATGGACTCCGACACAAGCAAGAAGAAGAAGCGTCGCAGAATCACGGAGGTCGCCAGTAGCATATTTTCCTCTTCTACTGCGGCGAATAAATTGGGGAACGCTCTGCACAGATCCTTCACGATCCAGCCGAACTCCTCGGATCTGTCTATCATCGAGGACGAGGCGGACACGAGGACGTTACGCAAAAAGTAAATCGATTAAAGCCATGTCTCGACTTAAGAGGAAAATTCTCTTAGAATAAACCATGTCCTAATTTCAGATTGAATAACGCTTCTGAAAGCTGTAACAGTTTGGCAATCAGGAGTTGGATATCAGACATCGCGCAGCCACGTGGCAAGGAACGCTTGAACAGTGTATTAAGTCGAAGTGATATCAGGCGGCAAGAAGCTATTTATGAGTTGTACTGCGGCGAAAATGTGCTACTGAATGAGCTCTATATGCTGAGAGACTTCTATTACGAACCAATGTCAACCACCGAAATCTTTAACTCCGAAGAATTGTCCACACTCTTTGGCGATCTCATAAATCTCATCGAGATACACAGTAACTTGAGGGACGAATTGTTCAAATTACGGGATAGATATGGGTTCACAAAGGCCGTGGGACCAACGCTATTAAATTGGGTCAGTTAATTTTCTTTTTTTATTGATATATTTCATTGTGCGTCATCGATCAACATTTGCTCCGCATCCCGAATAGGTGCACAATTGCACAATCCCTAACTAAAAAGGCCAGAGATTTCTGTCAGGGTCTCCTACTCTTAGCTTACATAGATTACGAATTTAAAAATCTGTATGTGAGATGAGGGATTGAAGTCAAGATTCTGAGTCTGCTACTTCTATATGGAATCCCACTGTTATGTGTGACATTAATTTCATTGTGTTTATAGCTGTCTACGTTAAAGAAACCATATCTGGAGAGATGCAGAACATTGGTTTGGGCGAGGCATTTACTGGAGGAGAAGAGATTTACTAACAAGAGATTCCAGTCGTTTCTAAAAAAACGCCTAGAATCGCCACGTTCCACTGACCTGTGGACTTACCTGGACGTGCCACGCTCAAGAATCGTGAAGTATCCGCTATTAGTGAAAGAGATTTTAAAATACACGCCTGCTACCGATGCGGATCATTTACCGTTGAAAGAGGCGAGCAACGTGCTGTCCGATTTGCTGAAGGATATCGATCACATTATGGGCGACGCCGAGTGTAAGCTTGCTCAATCAAAAATAAACGCGAAAATCGAACACGATCCTGAAAAATGCATCGCTAACGCCACAGAGTTGATTACGGAGGGTCAGCTTAAGGATACACGTGGAATAGTAAGTTTCATATCACATTCTTATAGAAGATAACACGTCTAGATTTTATTTAAATAGATTCTTTAACCTGAATTAATATCTTTGCAGAAATATCATTGCTTTCTTTTCGACACTTGTTTCGCGATAACTCGTCCTACACGACGCATTAGTAAAAAGTACAATCTACTCTTTCCCGTCATACCCAAGGAACAGATGTATGTGCAAGTAGAAGATAAAAGTACCGCAGAAATCTGCTTTAAGATTGGAGAATTTTCTTTCATAATGGAAGACGGGCACAAAAAAAGACACTGGGCTGATTCGTTCAACAAGATACACTCTAGATGCATTCCAGATAAAGTATTTAATACCGACGACAAGGAAAACTTGTTGGACAACGCAAAGTTATCAGTGTCAAATAATTGCGTCACGAGGACATCGATATCCAGGAGAACTTCCACAAGCAGTATAAACGATAATCTATTTTCCTTTTCCATAAGGAAGAGTCTACTTAAGCAAAAACGCAACAGTATTGGATATATATAGTAGAAGCTTTTATTCACGAGCTTTTATCTCTTCAGTAAGAAGCATTCTTGTTGGTATCTTAGTACAAAAATCTCAAATTAATATAACGAAAATTATTCTTATCTATGTTGCAATCTTTCTTCACGAGACTTGTTTTGTAATAAAAAATTGTCAATAACTAAAAGTTTTCAAAATAATAATATATTACACATTCCAACATAACAGAGATATAAATTTAGAAAGATTCGATTTATTTATGTTTATATTTAAATGAAGCAGTTAACACATTACATTTACGAGGTCTGCAATGACCTCGTGCTAAAATTTATTGATTTATATCATAAAAGTTGATCTTAGCTCTCCAAGAATTTAATCCACATTGATATTCTCCGATAATTAATTTTATTAAGAGCAACTTACACGTGTGTGTATACATACATGCTGGAAAAAGCATGGCCTAAAAATAATGTAATATATATGTACAAACGTTATCATCTATCTCTCAAAATATTCACGGGAAGTCAGTCTTTTATATCAATAGTTATATGCGTTCATTTTGTATTAGTATATATTTAAATGGTAAATGGAATTTATATACACATTTTTTGCAATAAACTAATAAAATATGAAGTGGCTTTAATTTATATCGATAGATGTTACACCTATTTAGGAAGATTTTGATAACACAATTTATAAATTTTTTGAAAAATAAAAAAAAAAGGTAACAAGGATTATTTAGTTCAAATTCAAACATTGTACTTGATAATGTAACAATTGTGTTTGAAAGTTGGTCTATTCAATTCGGTATATTGTGAATAGGCGAGATGCAACCTTTTTAAAAAACAATCAAAATTTTTTTCAATAATAAGACTTAATTTTTGAATTCTTCGAAAATTCAATCATTATTCTCTATTCAATCCTTTATTAGACAAGGATAATCTTATGATTTAGTAGGCTTCATCGAGTTTCCGTCGGGATAACGTTTCTTGAAGGCTTTAATAAGTTGCGGATCAATCAGATGAACACCATCAACTTGGTTGCCCAGCGTAATCCAGTTGGGCTGTACATTATGCGGCCGACCGAACAATTCGATCTTTCTGGTGCCGGGGCTCATGCGCTCGATGATGCCATAGATCTCGTCAGGTTTGTGGCTAGTGGCACGAACCTCGGCGACGATCACGTCACTGTCCAATCCTCGATTGATGCGAGGGTTGCCCTTCATGCCGACCAAACAATGTTCCTTGCCGTGGTTCAGCCAATGGCCCGTCCTACCAGTACGTATTATCCTTTGCAGCTGATTAGTTTTCACCCAAATAATCTCGTCGACCCTCTCGTAGCCCCATAGCTGCAGACATTCCCTCCCCAGCTCCATAGCTCTGCCGGTCACCCAGAGAAACAAGAGTCCTTCATCCTGGAGGGCAGGAATGCCCAATTGCCTCATCTCATCGTCCGACATGGTACCGTACGGTAACTCCATATGAATGTCCCACGGTGGATCGGCCATGATCACGGCAAACTTGCCGAGAACAGTCATGTCAAGGTAACGCAAGTCACACTGGATCCACTGCGGTGGATACAGAGTCAATTCGCTACCTACGTTGCTACTGCTACTGCTGCCGTTTTTGCTATCTAAGTTCAACGTCTTGTTGGACGCGGTATTGCTCGGACTATCGGAATCGTTGATCTCTTTCGGTTGTGCTGTAGGACCGTCTACTTCATAGTGAACATATCTGTGAGAAAAAAAATAGATATCTTTAGTTCTAGGTCTTTTTTGGTTTAAAAATAGAAATAGCCAAGCTATGTGTGATTTATTTAAATCTATACCCTCTATGGATTAATGTCGAGTTACAATTATCCGTGCCAGGAAAATGCATTTGATCGTACATTGATAAATGGTAGCATTTTTCACTTACTTGCACGTGTCCATGTGGAAGCAGGTATTGAGAAAACTACAGTCCCCCAAAGATTCGTCTGTGTGACTCTGGATGATCTTCTTAAAATGCAGCTTTTTACATTTCTCCGCGAATCCCGGACCGCCGTTCAATTTCATACAGTCTACTTTCGTACCATGTGGACAGAACTCCATGACTTGAGCACCTCCCTGAGAACGAAATCGTTCCGCCAGCGACTTCTCCTTGGAAGTCTGTTTCGACAGTAAGTCTAGAATCTGTTCGCCGACCTTCTTGCTCTCCTTCTCTCTGATAGTCGGCATTGAAATCAAAGACATAATGTCCTCGGTGTTCTTTTTGTCCACTTTTGCCTGTTTCTCCGGAGGCACGTGATCATTTAATTCGGACATTTCTATGCTCTCCGCATTCTCCGTGTCATCGGACTGGGACTGACATGACGATTGAGACTCTGTCACCGACAACACTGTATATCCAAACACTCCATTCTCCGTGACTTCTTTGATTCTAGAAATATACAGTATTTATAAAGTATTTTCTTATATTAAATATCACATACCAACACAAAAAATGGTATATAGAACGTAATAATTCTTACTAACTTAATTATATCTTGCGCAGCCAGCTTTTCCAGAATCTTATGGATGTCCGAAGAGGATATGTCGGCATTGAGATTCTTACGCAGCTGGTCTATCAAGTCTGCAGATGTTATCGGTAGACTAGGCAGGGAGTCGTGCAAGATGCAAAGTACATCTCTCTCATATTCGCTATGATCCGAGCGTGAAGATGCATTGGAATCTGTAACAGGTTCGAGACATTAAAGTCGAGAACAAATTCCTTCTCGTCGCACATTGCAAACGTTAATTGTGTTAACGGTAATGTAATCACAATAGTATGCTCGTTACCAGGACACGCCGACTCCGCCGTCAGGGCGGATGAAACCGGCGTAGAAGTGAGCGTGTACAATTCATGCCTCTCGCGTTTTCTCTTCTGTAATTTCTCACGATAGCTGTTTCTCTTTATCTTGATCGCTTGTATTTCCTCAAAAGCATCCGACATGGCTCGGGTAGATTGTACGCAAAAACATACTTCCTTCTGATGTGTGAGAGAAAGAAGCGACTGCGGATCAGATGGGGCACAGCTTTTAGTTATTTTCTAACCTATTATCGGTTAATTCAATATCGTATTACTTATTTTATTGTAACTTTTATTTAATTAACCTCTTAAACGTCACAAATATTTGTGTATGTAGGAATACTCGTATACGTGCACGACATTCTCAATAGACTAACATCCAGTACTACCTAGTACTGCAACTGCTCAGTCGGTAGCAGCTAAGTACTCGCTACTCCTCGCAGTCCTCGCAGAGAGAATGACTGATCCGTATCCACACAACGATCCTACGATTCCTACGAAGAGTCGGAGTACGTACTCGAGACGTCTGCCTAGCTAGATCCCCCTGCCCTTCCATTTAATCAAAAAATTTAGAATAAATTATATAATAATGCTGTTTATACGCTCTCCAAATAATCCATCTCCATGCGAAAAAATCTTGTGCTTGTTTCGTTTAACCAACAAAAAATTATTTTAATAATAAGGGGCTGAATAGGGTGCCGTGAGTTTGTAACGTACTGTAAAATGTATTAGCTTTCAGAAAAAATTTCGTAGCAATGATTCTATTTTAAAGCACCGCGATCAAATTATTGACAACGTTCTTTTTCTTTTTCTTGCTAATAAATCTGCAAGATAAGAGCACGAAATTCGAAGCAATAGGCTCGTTTATAGAAAATTTTGTAAGCAAAACAAATAATGTATCTGGGGAATAAGCAACAGAGAATGTTTTATAATTTTTAAGTATCTTGGCGACGCCGACGGTTCAATGTGTTTTTACGGTATGCGCGATCACCGCGTGAGAACGATCGCAAGGAAACTAAAAATAAAAAACGATACAATTCAACGTAAGTTTTCTGTAAAGTAGAGGTTACGAGAAATAAAGAAGCACATGTGCAAGTAAATTTTAAACATTTATGACAAATTACGTGCCTGTTCTTTAATAAAAAATGGAATTGTATTCGTGGACGCACATTTGAGATAGTAAATTCGCACGACGTTCATACGCATCGAACGTGAGTGGCTCGTGAGTCGAGCCCCCGGATCTGGCCAATCACGTTCCGCCGCTACGCGCCGCCGGCGCGGCGGATCGATACGGTGACGTAGTAGGCACCGCGCAGTCCTGCGCAGTCCGTACTAGCAGCGCGACCGTTGTAGTTCGAAATGGCGATCTTGAAAATTGGCGTGCCTTCGGCGTTGTTTCTGACGATGAGCGGACTCGCCACTTGCTCCCGTCAACGCTCGGAGTTACTGTTATCTGCGTAAGTCACTCAACTATCATTCTTTCGAGGAATTTCGCACGGGTGGGAAGTGTTCATGCTCCGCGCCCGTCGCCGTGCTTCGTACTATTTTCGAAACGCGTTCGTTTCGGCGATTGGCATTCCTGCTTCCTCGTTTCGCGGGCCGCGGGAATAATAGCTACGTGATCGAGTACCGGGCGCCGTGTGCCGTGTGCCGTGTGCCGTGTGTGTAAAACATTTTACGAGTGTATGAGGTGTTTATCGCAATGAACATGTTGCGCGAATCGCTCATTCGAGACGTCGAGGCGGAAGTATGTATGAACGACTTGCTTTGCAGTTTCGCTGTGATATTCGCGAGTGATAGTCGCTCGTCCCGCCATGTCTGGATTCGCGAAGTGCGTGGCATTCGTTTATCTCGCGTGTCGTGCTTTGAACGCTGACGTGCCGGACGTGTCGTGTGATTTAGCTCCGATTCTCTCCGTAGGGAAAAAAGGCTGAGTGATATTGATCGTGTCAAGTGATTCCGGTGATTCGATCGGTGATAACGGATCGCGGCGCCGCGATACATCGCCCGTTCGTGAATGCTTCACAATCTCGGATTCTCGTATATCTCGCGTCGCGTAAGATTAGCGGCCGGCTGTCACGATTCTTCGTTGTGCATATTAATAAAATGTAGTTATACTTTCGCGAGATTTACGAGTTTGATACCGTACGTACTGTGCATGAGTGCGATATTTAATTTCAACGGCGTATCTCTGATTAACGAAGTGCGTGTCTTTATTAACCGTCCGCTCGACTTGCATAGTATCGCCGGTAACGCGGTGATGAACGCGGAACGACGCGGAGCTCGCGGCGTCGCGACTCCTTCAAATTTGCATGAAAAATTCATGTTACCCGCTTTTATATTACAGAGAAAAGTACTTTTCCTTCCCACGGGTACGACCTTGGCGAGGTGGGAAGGCTCCAGTACCCAGTACGAGAATTTTACCCAAGCAAAACTCTTGTTCTGCTTGGATAAAAATTCAAAGACGGGGAAGCTAACGTACCCTCGTCCGCCGATTTAATTGAATGAACGAACCGCAGCCGGTTCGTCGCGTTTGCTTCGGGAGTGCCGTTCAAGTAATCGGACTAAAGGACTTTTCTAAACGGGAGTGCCGTACAGTATCGCGCGAGAAAGACTTTTAATGAAATTAGTCCGCGCGCGATTGTAGTTTATTATCCGCGAGTGTTTCTCGCGAGTGTCCTGTGCGGTGAGAGGAGGAAGCCTGACGTCCTGAGAGGAGGAGGAGGTCTGAGAGAGACATCGGGCCCCGGCGGAGCAACCTTGGGGTAAGTATCATCTCTTAGCTATACATATAAAATTGATAATTTGTTTCCATTTATTCGAAGTGTTGAATTTTAATTTCGATAAGTTAAAAGTAATTGAAGAAAGAGAAGTTATCTAAAATTCTATGCTTGTAAAGATCTTCGATAAACAGATAAATTGTATTGCTAAATATTTTATTGAAAGACGAATTGGAGACGCGTAAAAATCAACTTTTCAAATGTTAATAATTTTGAGCGCTTTTTTAATTTAAATCTTATGTTTGTATGTTACAGTATCACCGTAGCTACGTGGCTGCATAACTCCGCCCGTTGCGCATCGAATCGGTGAGTCAATAAATAATTTTTTCATTGAGGTAACGAATCTACGAATATATAATTAAATATAGAGCAATAATATATCTCGGTACATGCCGATTTTCAATAAATTGTAGTATGAAAATATTACATTTCGTAGATTCATTGCCTTAAAATGGATGGGCTAAAATTGATTATGGGAAATATTTAATCTTGGCATCATATTTGTATATTGTTGTATTTACTGATTGTTATTGATTTATTGTGCGATTGTGAACTTATTAAATTATGTTAACGAACTGCCGCGTTTTATATAAATTACTTTTGAATGAAGTTTTTAAGTACATAAATTAAATTTTTGAATTTTTATTACATAGATCAATTCTATTTAAAACTAGAGTAAATAATAAATATTTTAGAAACACAAGAAAAACAAAAAGTAAAATAATTCTTTAATAATTAAAGTAATGATTTTTTAAATAAAATTTTTTTAGATTTCTTTGAAAAATTATTTTTGTAACATTATATATATATTTTCTTTTCTTAAACAAAAGAGATAATAAGTAAAATATTGTGTCAGAGTTAGATGTTATAGGAAATAGTATTTGTAGATAGGGAAAAATTATGAGTTAGGATGTGTTTTATTTATACTTACCCATTTATTCATTTCCATATATTTAACCAAGATTAAATATTTATAAATCGATGCAAAAAAGCAATATATAGATATATTTAGAATTTATTAGATAAAAAACGTGATAAAGTTGTTATTTATTACTAAAATTTATTTTAACGAAGCATCGATTTTACCCTAATTTTTTGTAGCCTATCCATCTATTTTTAATTGAAAAATTGGCTTTATGCTAGATAAAGTCAAGTTATATGACGTGAGATTCAAAATATTCTGTCGAGATACTGAAAATTTAAATTATTTCAGAACTGATGATATAGTACAATTATTCAGTTTTGCAATAATAAATAACTACGTTATATCAAAATATCGTAAAATAAAAATTTGCATATACAATATCATTTAATTATTTAATTATAACAATGCGGTTATTGACTAATTATAATATCAATCGTGCGGGAAGTTTCTTTTTTTCGGATCTCACGTCATTTATTCTGTACCTATGGCCTAGTTTACACCGATCTCATGATACGCGTATCAAATAGTATATTTGAACTAATCAGCCAATAATCAGACTTATTTACTAGTTATTTACTATTTAATACGCGTATCAAGTGATCGGTGTAAACTAGGCCTATATCTTATTTGATATATTTTCGAGATGCGACATTTTAGAACACTCTGAACCTATTAACTTCCGCAAATTTGGAGATATATATCTATTTCTAAATTTATTATATTTTTCAGTGTTTTCTACCCCTATTTCATATATAATTCTTTTAAATTCGGTTGATTAGACTTAGCTTTATATGCGATCAAAATTATGGCTCTTTGGCGCTCCTCTACCTCGCGAGGCGCTTCTTTGCCTCGCGAGGTGCTTCCCTTGCCTCGCGAAACACTCCTCTACCTCGCGAGGTGCTCCGCTACTTAGCATTATAGAAAAGACTGAAAAATATAATTCATATATAATTCTTTTAAATTCGGTTGATTAGACTTAGCTTTTTATATGCGATCAAAGTTATGGATCTCTGGCGCTCCTTTACCTCGCGAGGTGCTCCTTTGCCTCGCGAGGTGCTTCCCTTGCCTCGCGAAACACTCCTCTACCTCGCGAGGTGCTCCGCTACTTAGCATATATAAGAATTATATATATGAAATAGGGGTAGAAAAGACTGAAAAATATAATTCATATAGAATTCTTTTAAATTCGGTTGATTAGACTTAGTTTTATATGCGATCAAAGTTATGGATCTTTGATCGCGTATAAAGCTGG